TATGATTGTCTCACTCCGCCAAGAACAAGAGATGGATGGAGGCATCCACGATTATAAATCTTAAATTCAAATTCATATGAACCCTTAAACACGCTACAAGCGTTAACTTGAAGGACACGTGACAGTAATGCTTCAGATGAGGGCGCTGTTGTCGATCTGCACAAGTACATGACGTCACATCTCGCCTCTGCATCCAGCATCCTCTACCCCTCGCTCTCATCTCGAGACGTCCGTAGAATTTAATGAAGTAAACTTAAACTTAAGTTTGATGTGTGACACTTAATTTGTTTCCGACACAAGCAACAGATTTCGCTAATGACGTACCTACTCGTAGAGCAGATGGGATCCGAGACAACACCTTTCCATCCTTCTGGAAAATTTTATTTAAACTTCGTCTTGTAGCCAGAGCATACAAGTACGAAGCATTTTAAGTCAGCCTAACCTCAACATTTACTCCTTTCATTCGTCCTATGAACAAGCTGTCCCAGAAAGTCAACTTAATTCTTCTTTGATTTTACTTACGTGTCCACACATAATACCACAAAGTATCAGCAGACACAGAAACCTTCTTGAGAATTTAATAATACCTCAGGAGTTGAAGATATCCCTCGTCATTCATGAAACCTAAAGGCACAATACCATGTTCACACAAGCCCAATATCTGTCCCTTCGCTAAGCCAGATTAATCCAATCAACACTACATTATTATGTTTTAGATCTACTTTAATATTATCCTGCAAAACTACGTCTGGGTTTTACAAGTTGAATGTTCGCTTCATTACTTCGTACGTGTCTCTGTTTATGCTATCCTTGCATATCCACCAATTTCACCCTTAAAAATATTAGGGGAGAGTAAGAATTACGAAGACCCTATTCAGAAAATTAATTTTTTACAAATTCCAGAATAACTTTTTATATATAGAAGATGGTAATGTGGTTGTGACCCAGAATTACAGTAATCTGAACGTGGTTACTAAGACGCTGTATGAAATTTCATTCTACGTCGCGTTGAATTCGCAAGAAGTCAATCCGAAATAACGACTGAGCAAACAGAGCACGTAAATTCCCAACCGAAAGCCACCTCATCCCACGCGTCTCTCTCCTCTTCTCGTTAACAACTCCATTAACAAAGTTCGTAAACTAAGTTTCAAACGCACAATTCAAGATTTTCCTCCGGATGATAAAATATCACGCGAGAAGGTAATTTTTTCTCTCTTATTTCAGAATTAAACTATTCGACTTTGGTGTCACTAGATGAGTTTATATTAAGGTTTCTTTTGAATTTTACTGCTCAGAACACAATTTCGGAACTTTTATTACCCAGTGTCACTCAATTTGTCCCCTCCCTCTCCGCAAATCTTTCTGTGCTCATTTACTACGTGTTATGAAACGAAAGTGACGTCTTATATTCAATAAATAACCTAACCTCGTCGACAGACAGACTCCCTGCGAGCAGTCTGGCCAATCACGAACGTGAGACATTTCATTTTGGAGACAGAAAGAGAGAGAGAATGGAATTACGTAATCAAATTTATACTCATCGATATTTAAAAAGTAACTGGGCAAAAACACGTGCTATCCCGCAATTCTACATTATCGTAAAAGACATTCACACAATACGGCATATATACGACCTATTTATATATGTTTATGTTATACAGTCCCGCATAACAACTAATATATTATCTTACTTGAAAACATCCGTGAGATGATAATGTTGCGTCATATTGTGATGTTTTCAATTGTTTAATTTTAACCGTCTAATCACAATAAAATATTAACATTCAATATTTAAAATATATATTAATATATTTTAAATATTGAATGTTAATTGTAGTAATAATATTTTAATATTTAATAAAATATTTTATTGTGATTAGACGGTTAAAATTAAACAATTGAAAACATCCGTCTATATTTCGCACTACAGCTGAATTTCTTTCATTTTTCGTTCCTTAATTTATTTATTGTTTATTTGAGCATATATTAATTGTTAGTTTTGTTTTTATTTAACTATACTTTGTCCCATGTTCACAAAATTAACGCATATAGGTCTGATCGTTTCTCTCTGCGTGTCTGTCCGTGTATAACAACATGGCGGACGCGCGAACTTAAACACGTAGGAGCGCCAATCACTTAAAATAGGCAATTAAATTATGTAAATATAAAAAATATATAAGTTTTGTTAAGGTAATTTTTGTAGAATATAAAAACATGACGGGAGCGTGAGGATTTGAGGTTATAAGTAATAAATTAATGACAGACAAAATCTGTATTTAAGTAACAAACTATTTCGAGTAAGAAAATAAATAATAGTGAATGATGAGACGTAATTCAAAGTTTATTTTACTCTTGATATGAAGGAAAGCAATCAAATCTCTTAACTTTCCAATTACATTCCTCTTCGACTTATTTGATCCAGAGTTGCAGGCTGGATTTTCCAATTTCCGTGGTTGGTTCTCCCACAGGACTCGTAAATCTGTCAACGGAATCAAGACAACGTGTTCGAGCTCCATTCGCGTAAGAGTGGAATAAGTGCGGATTACAATTTGTTTTTGTTTTTTTTAGATAAAATGTTAATCGGAATACAACCCACAATTTTCTTTACAGAGTTTTTTTTAACAGGGTATCAGATTACAAATTGGGTAGCTGATTCTTTGATAATTAAACAACACTGTTTTAACTGCATAGCTGATTCTTTGACAATTAAACAACACTGTTTTAACTGCATAAGTTAACTGGCCTAAATTCGAATGATATAAGAAGTAGGTAGGGATTTGGAATGAGGCAGTCGTGGCCTATTTCAATGTCCTATTTAGATATTCGGCTGGAGATACGGAGTAAAAACACGGATCAGTGCAGATGGTAACCCCGACAAGATTCAATGCGGATGTCTCTGGATTATAAATATATAATTTCTGTACGGAAAACTTTAATGAGATAACAAAGATCTTGCAGAACAAAGCTTAATTTCTTCATGTCGAAGTCATTGGCCTGTGACAACATGTGGTGACGGAGGGTTTTTATAAGTTTGTCCATAAACTTGTTACCTTCATCTTCAAGGTAGACGTTTTTATATATTGGCTATGGGTGCGCTGAGTAAGAAGCTTGGAAGGACGAAAGGAAATAGAGCCACAGAGCCCTGAAGTGGAGAACAGGAATGGCCACTTTTAGGGCCAGTACGCGAAGACTTGACCTTGGAATTTATCCCAAATGACAAAACGGCGAAGAGAGAATGTTCTTCTTAGAGAAACATCCCTGGAAAATTATCGAATCCTTTTCTACAGTGCAACCCAATTAATTTTAGAAGTAAAACCTACGGAAAACCTAACTTCAGTGTCCAGTCAATCAGAAGACAGTTGCATTGTTGAATCATCAATGGCTCACGACAGATAATATACAGGAGTGCCGATAATGGACATTGTTGTATACTGTGCTCGTGAATGAGGAGAGACAGTGACATCTGTCGACGAAACTGCGTACTAAATACGTCTGGCCGACTCAGCTACAGAGAACTGTCGATAAAGCGACCTGCTATAACTAGATACAATGCTCATGATTTGGTTAAGAGTGACATAAGTAAATAAATGACTATCTTAACCAACTTCCACGTGGGATGAGCCGCGTAATGAAAAAAGCAAAATAATGATTTGTTTGTTTGTTTGTTTGATTGCTTATTCCTTGTACAATCTGACCAAGGTACACAGACGATCCAACTCTTCTTATACGGTTCGCAGGAACGTGATATGTTACGAAGTACACATCACTTTAACAGAGTGCAGTCACTTACAGAACAAGAGACACGCAGAGAAAGAGGACATATGAGCAGGTCACTTTATGAAAAATGTATGTCTTACGTAAAACCACGTGGGATTTGCGGTAGCGCGGGTTTCCTCTCTCCGGGTCCCTCTGTTTTCCCCTGTCAATATCATCCACAGATGCCCCATATTCACTCGTGTCTCACATGGGAAATAGACCACGAGTCCATTAGCATCAGCAGTACCACAGAGACACGGTTCCACCTCATCGCAAGAATATAAAAAAATCTTACGAACGCCGACGTCAAAAGCAAAGGAATAAGTTCCTTACATCAGCGATGTTAGACGTCGACAATACTGAAGCTTCGTGTAATCACAATCTACCAAACCTAACCTGCATACATTAACTCCAATGACCTTGAATAATTTTAAGTTAAATTTAATGTTCTACAGACTATTTAAATTATTCGAATCAGTAAACTTTTTAGCTTGTAATAATTTTACATGTAAATCCATAAGACGTACACATACGTCACACTATCCAGTTACAGTACACAGTACCATCTATAATACTAAAAAAATTACGTGAAAACACGATATATAAATCGTCCACAGCTTAAAGTGTAGTAACTTAAGAGGACCCATTTCCATCAGGATCTCAACTTAAATACGTCAAACACGTTCTAACAAAGTTTTTAGCACAAAATACATTTATGGGTTTCACATAATTCTTAGAATAAACAGTAATTATTTCCCTAAACAGCATTTGCCAAGTGATATTTGCAATGGAGAATTAGTTTTCTACAGAGTAGACACAGATTTATTAAATATTATTTGGACGAGTTTCGACAACAGTGGGTTAAATTATAATATTCTGCATTGGAGTTACACGACTTAAATTTAACCTGAATTCTAAGATAGATTAATATGTCTGCGTTAAGGATGTTTAAGTTCGGTCTAATAACCAAAAGATTAACTTATGAATATCCAAATCCCGCATAGAATTCATAAGCAAATACCCATGTAGCGAATGTCTCGATATATATTTAAGACAATGATTTTAGGTGCATTAGCAACTTAATGCCCCATAGAACAGGCTTCATTCAAAAACTTTATCAATTCCCATAGTTATTACGCAGGGAATGTAGGTGCAGTTCTCATTCGTAATTCTATTTACAGTCGACAGATGGCGAACTGCTACAATCGCATATATCGATTATCCCGCTACATCGCTCTAACGGAAGAATCACTTAACTAAGAATTACGAAGTCCGATTGAAACGACATCTTTTATTATTTCCTAAAATACTGTGAACACAGTCTACGGCTGAAAGTAAAACCTGTTCATTGCTGATTTTGTGAAGGTGTGTTGTTCGAGAGTGAATGGTATCAATTCAAATTTGATTCGCAAAATAGAATTCGGTTGGATAATTTAGTGCAGAAGAAAGAGTCATAGGAACGATTAACATTAATCAACTGGAAACTAAAACGTTCGACATACAACGTGTCCCTATAAAGGAAAAATATTGTGTTCGTAGCACTTAAAATACATCAAAAGTTCAATCACCTACATACAGCAGCTCAGCCTGTGTAAATTTGATTTTGATATATTATTAATATCAGCATATTATACATGTGTAATAATTCTACTTGATTTAAGAGTTAGGGCTGATTGAGTCTACTTCACAACCACCGCTGGAGTTGGAAATGGGTGACAAACAGCCAGCAGCCAAGACACGTCGTTTAATGGAAAGTACTATTTCTTCTGACCCAGAAGATGACCCTAAGGGCCCATATTCTGACCCAGAAGATGACCCTAATTGCTCATTTTCTGACCCAGAAGATGACCCTAATGGCCCATATTCTGACCCAGAAGATGACCCTAACGGCTCCAATTCTCCCCCACTACTAAGAGGGCCAAGAGAGGTTGTGAGAGTGCTGCCGCCACCCAGATCCGAAACAATATCTCTAACGGAATTTTATGAAATTTTAGCAAGGTTCGATCGTCTTGAATTTAAGATTGACAAGCTGCTGGAAATAATGGAGAGTCGCCGTATGATTGTGCCTCCTCCACAGAACAGACGTGTATCCAAACCAATCCAACTATTCAAACCCTTCCCAGACAATGAGAGATACTGATAAATCATATCAATTACACTCAGTCTTAATACATATGTAAAATGTGATCGTTTCATTATATGTATGAAACATAAAATAAAATCATTTAAAGTATTTCACAATTTTTTTTCTCTCAGCCGACAATATAAACAATTGGTCTAAAAAAGTGCATATCGACATGTTTGCGTCAAGCGTCAGGAGTTATGTTACAAGGTATCCACGTAAGTAACGAATGTGAAACCCTTACAACAAATAAATACGGAAGTGACGCACATGACACACTATCCTATACGTGAAATATTCAAAAAGTGCAACACCTTCTGCACAGATGCTCCATTAACCTAACCTAACCCAACCAAAACGGGGTATTCTCTCAGTTCAACATGGCGTCCTGTGCATGAATTTCACAAATATAGAATGGATGGACCGACGTCATTGAAATTTTGTATGGTTGTCATGCCACAGGTAAGTTAATAATATTAATACTCTATTATGTCATAACGCTGGTAATAAAATCGTACATAGGCACCAAAGTAGCGAGGTGGAGGAAATGCGGAATCGGCCACGATCACTAAGAATTTACTTCCTCACAACGTAATTATGCATAGGGATGTTTGTGCATACATCCTACGCAGTCATTATGTGTCAAGGTACAACTTCAAATATCTATATTTAACAATATATGCAGAATAAATATTTACGGTGAAGAAAACCATCGAAAACATTTAGGCAAATTGTCGCTTTTCAACGTGCAACAATACAAAAAAAAGTCAAGTAATCCTAATAGTCCGTATGCACGTAATGTGTCGCATAATTCTTATTCCTACTGAGAAATTTCTATTTACAGTCGACAGATGTCGAGCCGCTACCATATATAACGATTATCTTGCTACGTAGCTCTTCAAGTATTGTCAGATTACAAACACGCGCACTCTAACAGAAGAAGCACTAAACAAAAAAATTAGGAAGTCTGATTGCAAAGACCTCTTTTATCATTTCTTAAATTTGTGCGACAATGGCGATGGATGCATGGGAAAGTCGTACAGGATCGATTTTGTCAATGAGCTGTGCTGTTCGAGATTGAATGGTATCGATTCACTTTCAATTCGTGTAACAGGATTTCTGTTAGCCAATATTAAAAGACGTCGGTGCCCAAAGAACACACGTGTAGTAGCAACTTTCCTGCCTACAAACACAAGCCGCAACAGCAGAGTCTATAAGTACACTAGAGCTTTCTTGGCAATCGAGGAGATGTACTGACATTTCAGTAGTAGAATTGACGAGATAAAGCAGGTCCATTCATTCAACAAGTTTTTCTAAGTTAATTCATTACCTTGTGTGATGTATCTGCATAACAGGAAGCACCCTAACCAGTGTTTCTCAGGAAAGAAGATCTTCATGATTAGCCTCAACCTGTCTCTGCAATTCCTTGTCCAGGAGAGTGATTCCTAGAAGAATAAGAAAAACAACACACTACTCAATTACAGTACCGTCTAATGTACAGATAAATGATTCACACAAGGTTGAAAACATCTTGGGGGAAAGATATATACATAAAAATGTAATTACTAGGTGAACACAAATACTTCTGAGCATAATTCTCCTTCAGTCAACTTCTGCAGCCGTTCTGTTATGAGCTAAACCTTGCAAAACTGCTTGCAACTTCACAGATGAATCACTCTGCAGAAACTTTTACAAAGTTCTGTAAATATAGGAAATTACTTTTATAAATAATATACACTTAATCTGAACTACAGCTTTGAATTTTCATATTACGTATAGTTCTATCCATTATGAAACCAATTACTCTCTCCAGACCTAACCTAACCTAACATAATTTAATCTAACCTTATTCCAGTTCACAAAAACATTTTTCATAGACAGAAAATGTTAACATTCAATTTATAATAAACTTTTCTATTTTATAACAATTTAACTGAATGGAGTGAGTGTTCTACTTAAAACACAACCAGAAACAGATGGCAATAATGAATCCTTTCATTGATCCCCACTGTCGTAGCTGTTGTAAAGCTTGAAATTTATATGACTAAAGTCATTTTGTCACTTAATAAGCACTTCATATATACAAATACATTCTGTGTTCTGAAATGTTTTTACTCGGTACATCGTCTTACTCCTTACTTTCCTGTCAGGACAAACATTGCTAAATGCTCCACAAACAGCAGTAAAACATTTCATGCAATGTTCAAGAATGAACACATTGTGTTCATAAATACGAATGTTCACACCTGCACATATTTTGTGCATCTGTTGTAAGCAGCAGCCTAGTAACCACGGTAACCTTGGCACGAGTAACATGGAGTAGGCTGGGAAAGTCTATTAAACAGGGGTGGACCTACTTATGATTTCATTTTTGTTACACATAATTATTGCCAGATTGCATTTTAAATGGTACAGCCTGTACATACACTATCAAATAGTAAGATAATTAGTTACATAAACATAAAAATTGTTGAAGGATGCGCAGAATTTATCAAATCAAACTACTAACATAAGAATATGATTACAGATTGCAAGCATAAGGAGAGAAAAGTGGCCAATAAGAGGGGGCATAGCCCTGAAAAGGAATGGAAAACTGTACTCTAAACACAATTTAAAAAAAGCATAAAAGAACTGGCAAAGCAAATCTGTTACAACAAAAGGTAATGAATGAACCATTTAACACTGGATTTCAGTTCTAGCACGTACAAACATCTGTTGCGGACTTTGTCTCTCATTTTGATTGTAGGACATAGATTGAGGGTCTTTGAGAACAGCGTTGAGGGGGATATTTGGACTGAAAAGGGAGGAAGACATAAAGGTGAAAACTACATAATGAGAAGATTCATGGCCTGTACTCCTCACCTGATATTGTTAAGAGTGATTAAATGGAGAATAAGGTGGGCAGAACATGTAGCACACATGAGGGAGGGGTTTCACATGGTATTGGTTGGGAGGCCAGAAAGAGACCACTGGAAGACCTAGGTGTAGATGGGAGAAAAAGTTAATATGGACCTTCCAGAGATAACAATCGATGGTGCTAACTGTATTCTGGTAGATGAGGGATTTTGTGAACACGGTGATGAACCTTCGGGGTTCCATAAAGTGGACTATTCTTTGACAAACTGAGTACACAATCCACTTTTAAAAGAATTTCCTGCAGCATTGAGTGAGAGAGTTTGTAGAAAAAGCATATGGTACTTGGATACGTTTGGTTACCAACTACAATTAGCTTTGTTCTTCCTGTATCACATGTAGGTACGCTACAAATTACAATACAATACTTATTGGCAGTTAACATAAAATTTAAATACCATAATAATACATCTCTCTAAGGGTGAAAATAATATATTACCATCCCACTCAATTGTATCCAACACGTGCATCTCATTGTAATTATATTGTCCTGAGCAGCTAGTTACAAAAAATTATCCTAATCAAAGAAACTTCGACGAATAAGTATTTACTTTCTACCAAGAAATATACTAATTACATTCACGTGGCACGTAACGCGCATAATTTGCCAATTAAATCGAGCAACACCATGAACACAATCGCGCCACAATACCGGAATGGTTCCAGCTGCTTTGTGATTGGTTCAGTACATCACGTGACTTTCCAACCTGTGATAATTTCTTGCATTTATTATGAATAATAATAATAATAATATAATAAAAGTTCTTGTAGCAATTTTTGTGAATCGTAATTAGATATCTTCCACGTACACCTGTCAACATGCCCTATTTGAGTTAATGCAGGGTGATCCGAATCAGCGGTGAGTGGAAGTCACATTTGACAGACTATCGAGTTTCTCTTGAGACTGAATTGATATGCTGCAATCTACTGGAAGTGGAAACAACCTCTTACAACCGTTCTTGACGGTTCACTCGGTGTAGTAGCAACCTGCACTCACACTGCTATGAACTAAACATATTACATTCATAATATGACCAAGCTGGTAATCAGTTACTGTATTCATGTACCTCAATTTAAATAAAATTTAATAAATAAACTGTCGCCACTGAACTCATGATTACAGAGGAACAAAATACCATCATATATGAACATTTGTTTATTACTATTTAATGACACAAAATTACACATAAAAGATAACAAACACTGAACATAATACTTGCTACATATTCTGTTTGTCAGTATGTATATATGTGCATACAAAGCTACTTACACAGACTTGGGAATTAATTTAAACACAAATGAATTATAATAAATGCTATGGTAGTTCTCGTGATTAACATTTGAATGAGCTCTACTGAAACATAAGATGAGGCTTCTGTGTATGACTTAAAAGTAATTCACCAAACACTTGTCAAAATATGAGACTTAATACTGATGTTACAGCATCATTATTCTTTCCTTGGTGTCAGAATGGCTAGGCAAAGTGTTGTTCACACTTACACGTAAAGGCAGAGGAAATTAGAAGTTTAGTTACGTCATTCCAGTCAGCACGAAGACAGCAGTTTTTAAAATATGGCACAATGGCAGTACAGACTCTTCAGTTCTGCATAATCAACATATACAGTACATATAAGATTACTCTTTTGGGTTTGTGCCAAATCATTCATTTAAATCATTCCAATGTTTCAGCAAACTCTCACCATATTTGGCGTCAATGTCACGGATTGGGTAAAGGAACAGCATATTTTTACATAATCCTCAAGAGGGAGGAAAGGAGAATGTGAATGACTTTATTGGTTGTTATAGATGTTCACAAAATGGCTGGACTCTGAAATCTGGGGGAAATATTGTGTGTACTAGCCAACAGAAGGTCAATTTGGTATCCCAAAATGTTATTCAATCAATAACTGTACTACTCTTTAATGTTCTATGGGCATTTCATTGCTTTGATGGCGTCTCTGATGATGATTTGAAAATGACTGCCTTTTTCTCCCATTTCATCAAACGTGATACTGTGATCTCTATGGAATATTTGGTATTGCTGATCATCAGTCCCTCCCCCCCAAGATTATCATCTCTTACGTTCCCATAAGCATCTGCGGGAATGTGATGTCTGGTCTGTCAGACGCGTACCTTTCATTCTGAACTGCAATGTTTGCTGGAATGTTAGGAGGATTTCAACAAATAACACAACTCAAACCTAAAAGTGTAATCTTATACATCAGACATAAGTCATGGAAACTCAAAGACAAGGATATGACAAAAGGGTCACACCTTAAAAAGGAAAGATGATTCTGCACTTACACTTCGGACCTGTACGAATATTTGGGACTGAGCATTTGGTTTGGCATACTGAATATTTAATAACATAAAGTTTGTCATGGAGCGCTAAACATGTATACTGTCATATAACTTATAAAAAGCAACAAATATTTAAATTTCATATGTAAAAATTAGGAGACATAAAAAATAAGCATTAACAGCGTGATATTAAAGCCATATTTTTGACATAATTTTGGCACATCAACTGCATAAGAAATTAGATAACATGCAGTACCATAAACTCATTTCTTCAGAATAAAATAAATTAATAAATACTACTTCACGCTCTGAAACTTACCCTGCATCGCACATACTTCATACTTATTGAATAAAGCAAGCAATTAAAAAAAGTTGACTGATTATTACATATAGAACACATGCCTCATCTATATGCAATCAGAAGTATTAAAACAATCCTTTAGGAGCCACAACAAGACACAGCCTTGCATTAATTGTCATGTACATCTTTAGGCGATGCTTTCTAATATCAGTATTGTAAATATGTACTTCCATGCAAATAAAGCGGTGATGTGAACATCATCAGAGAATGTCAAAAGACCAGAACAAGTCAAAATGATTCACCGCGTGTGGGGCAGGAAAGTAAGTCATTGAAATTACACAAATCTCGGACCAAAATGTAAGTGAATGGGGGTGGCTGTCTGGACCAAAATGTAAGTGAATGGGGATGGCTGTCTGGACCAAAATGTAAGTGAATGGGGGGTGGCTGTCTGGCAGAGATGCCAACTCCCACACTTCTGTTTCACATCTGCAGAACAGTACGAACGCAGAGAGACACACATGACGTGTAATCATGCCGTAACACGATTCAAAGAAAGTGGCATATCTCTCAACTATCACAGTCACTGGTCTGTGAAAAAAGAAAGGTACACGGACACGTACATACTCGGTCTGTTCACAGACAAATCTAATATTCAGTAGCGAAATATTTTGGAAATGTTTGTGCCCTACACTCAATGAACATCTTCAACTTACTCTTGTTACACCCTACAGAAAGTACCATCACCAAGATATTCTCCACACATTAAGAGACGTGACTCCATTTAAGACACAATAAGAGAAAAAAATAATACTAATATAAACATCACAATACACTTACTTACAGTATGTCTGTATTCTTACTTTAAGTCCACAATGGAAGACAAGGTGTCTTCTACGCTCGGAAATATGGCTCTAGCACCTGTCACTTTCCTGGAGAGACTTTGTTTCCATAAAGTCCATCACTTACAATATTTTGGGATATACAAATAAATATAAAATAATTTCACTAGTTCTGGGTAATACGTCTCTGATATAATGAAAGATAAGGGAGATGTTAAATCTCTGACCGGACTTTGCAGACTACCGCTAATGTGTGCCGTCACATGAATCGATGAAGTTCGCTGTAGTGATCTGTGATTCCGCGCAACCTAAGTGTGCAGTTATAACAGCCATTCAAATATCTGTCTTCTTCTTCTTCTTCTGACATTAGATTTTCAGCCGTGAGCCTGACACCGTAATTTCAAAACTTTTAATATATTTCTCATACCTTCCTTATGAGTTCATTTCACTGAATTTCAATATATGTGAAACACACAATATTCAACTATCTTCTACAAACAATCTGTAGTCTGCTTATCAGAAATAAATGGAGACTGACGAGAGTTAACCGTTATCAACACTGCACGTTCACGACGCAACTGCACTTTTACTTTTGGAAATTTTAATGACTGCTCCTATCAATTACAGATTTTGTTTATCGTCGACGGCACTCGTGATAATTCTAGGGCACTGTAGAAACTTCTAAGAAGAATGGCAAGAGAAAGAAGACATCCCTTACAAGACAACCAAATTACAAATTTTAAACCATGCATCTTCATTTCATGAAGATATCTGAAGGAATGATAGTCTTCAAAGTACCAGCTCACCAGATAAAATGGTTCTAAAGTTTACCCTTCAAGAGATACATAACACCCAAAATGATTATATTATTCTGCACCTTTTCTTACCTCTACACCAAAGCAACATTCATAAAAAAGATCCCCTATTGCAGTGCAAGCGTCGTTCTTCTGAGATGTGATTACTGAAGTTGGCATAAAAAAACCATTAGTGCAATAACAAATTATCAATATCTTACATTAGGCAGTCATCTACTGTGATGGTCTCTTTACTGATAAATATTTCCACCGAAACGCCAGATTCATACGAGTACCGGCGGCTCTATTTCCGATCAACATTCCCCTGATAAACGTGAGGCCATGCAATCAGGAAGTATACAACATATCCAACCTCACGGAGCAGTTCTGAAATAAAATTAACTCATGAAAAGTATGCAAAGAATCTAACAGCTCAGGAAAAAAAATTTGATACTGATTAAAATATACATTTCATGAAAAGTACAGCAAAGTCTTATTCTCAAAAATAATCATATATGGACCCATAACTACCACTCATACTTAAAAATTTTATACGCATTAATCTTGTAAAAATATATATGTCAACAAATACTTCTATACTATTATGTACCAGTAAAATCACACATTCAGCTCCCCTTTACCAATTTCATCACCAATGGCCTCTACATAATATTTTATTCTTCTTAAAGTAAAGCGTCAATGTTTATTGCCACGTTCTGTCAAATTCCTTATAAATGAGATATGGAGTAATTTCTTGACAATGAATATTAAAGCCAAGAACTACTTTGCCAAAACACTCTTACCCAGCCTTGTTTTCTGCTCAAACATCCTACCGATAGTTGTCCTTCCTTATTACTGGCTTCCATCCTACCAATAGTTGTCCTTCCTTATTACTGGCTTCGAACCGTTCATTCGTCCATTACCAGCCGGAGAGACCCAATAAAACTGGACAGCGCGTTATCCTGCCTAATCGATACTCCTGTCAATCAAATGCTAGGTTTTTCAGCTCCATGTATCCTCCACAAAACTGAGGGCAAAGTTCCCTTCTCCCAGTTTGTTGGGAAGTGCGCTTTCTATACATAATTACCCTGAAACAAAAAATACAACATTAAAAACATAATCTTATATACAAAAAACATTAAAATTACTAGAGACCTTACAAATCAAACTTTCGTGTTCCTGTTGCGTGACACACGATCACATTTTGTGTAGTAAACTTAACAATCACAATATTTCAATAAAATAATGAAGGTTTCCAACACAATTACATCCAAATATTGGGGATGACATAAAAAACATCAACATAAATATTAAAAAAAAAATATGAGACAATCGGTATACAAATTTATGTTTCACATTTGAAACTCTCCGACATGTTGTTATTCCTTTATGGCGGTTAAAACTTGACTTTTACATTTTATTCACTAATTCCAGTAGAATATGAGCTAGAACTTTAGCTATACTACATTTCATGACTTTACATATTATTAGAACGGAAAATACCAACAATTTTCATACCACTTTTATATACCAATATAGAAGAAAACAATTCTTTGGTTTCATAACAATTTTTAAATTTTTATTTGCAACTAAAAAATTATTGATGTAATGAAGTGATGTTGAAACATAAATTACTATTTCAGAAAGCTATCAGATCCTGTTTTATGTCGATCCATTATCCACTGCGAGTTACAGTAGAAGCAGACGTCCTTGAGATCGTACCAGTACAAAAATAAACATACACTCCTTACAATATGCAAATGTGACAAATTGGGCGTTAATTGTTTTTTCAAGCATAATTACATTTAATCCTTATAGATCCAATTTTTTTTGTATGTTGAGTTATTTAATTATTACATATCAACTGTTAATATTATTTAACATAACCAAAATAGAAAAATGCTAGTTTACACTTCATACATGTATCAGTATATGCTTATTTATGTCACTCTTTCACATAATTTACTGTGGTCGCTGGTCAACTTTCAGTATTAATGTGCAACTGGTATCAAACACATTACTGTAAGCAGACAGCATACATTAATAAAAGTAATATTTTTCTTAAATAAAATATAGAATTCTAAATACATTAAGATAACCTCCCATTTATATTAGCATAATTACCATTAACTCACATGTCCCAGAAAAATAACCTGTACATACACATTTCTAAGTAATGATAAGAAATAGTTATAAATATAATCCCTACTAATTTAAATTAGAGTTTATAAAATAAAATGTGATCTGCTATTCAAATTCTCAGTAATTCAACTGCTTCACGCTAAAGAATACCAACTCGTAACTGGTATTTTGTTTTATTTAAAAATCTATTACATAACACAGAGACAGCTATTAAACTATTATCCGCTTCAGAATGTGGAACGTCACAACTGCCGACACACAGAGACACATTGCGAAAAAGAACTTACTTATGTAATGACAATACAATTTGTGTTATAACAGCTGCTGTACAAGTAACTATCATCTGTATGGACTAAATGAATGCATTTCCTGGCTCTTATATGGGATTTATTTACAGTGGCCTTGTAAGAAAGAATCTGTTGAGTGAGATAAATGGAGCAATTAAGAACTCCTACAGGCACTTCCACGCTAACAAGCATGAAATAAAGTTGCGTAACAACGGTGCATTGTTTTTTTTTTACCATGTCATTAAAAAATACAACACCAAGATTACAATGTCCTCTAAACAATGTTACCTAATCATCAAAAGTGGCTATATACCTACAGAATGTTAATTTAAAATATCAAAACTGTGTACGTAACGTGAAACGTAAGAGTCGAACATGTTCCAACGTAGTGCTTTAGGATAATGACAAAAACCTTCTTCACTAAAAATAAAAGTTTTTCACACAGTAATAAATTTTATTTATTTGAAATCAGAATTACAAAGACCTCGAAATTCCCACAGCAGATTGTCTCTCAATTCAGCAAAATATCCACGACAGAAAGTGAGGCGGTGCGGAGAGACGCAGAGGTTAATAATATTCCTTTTAAAGACAAAACTTCCATACTCCCTAATTGGTAGATATATTCTGAATACATGTTAAGAACTGTCGACAATCTGTACAAGAGGGGCATTAAATTTCATTTTTTATTTTCGAAAATTAGATGACTTCTCTCACTGCCAGCTCCTATCCAGAACCACATTTAAATTAGACCAAGCCTTCCTTCTCAATTTCATTCAGATCAATTTTAATATTATCATGTCACATATACCTTTCCTATTTCTCCCATGCATGCTATACGCTACACTCACTTCGCTATTAATTTGATGATCCTGATAACATTTGGTGATTAATAAAAATTAAGAAACATCTCAGCATCGATGCATTGCATTTTCAAAACTGTTCTATAAAATGTTTTTTTGCAAATTAATCGTGAGTACCAAAATGAAATATAAAGTATATTCAGAACTCAAAATATGTAAGATTTACTTCCTTATAACAAGGAATTTCTTGATATAATAATAAAATTAAACTCTCCTCTTGAAAGTCATCTTAAGGGTGTTTCTTATGTTTTACCATCTGGGTTTTGTGCCTCCTGTTCTGAACTAATTATCACATAATGTATTCTACCAAATAATGTGACTATTTCATAATTACTTACTTTTTTACTGACAAACGCAACATTTGACTAAACATCTGGCTGTTGTCAAGCATTTAAATAAATTAATTGAATATCTGACTGGCAACATACACAACATTGAAACAAGCACTTTTGAGCTTAAGAGCAGCTAAAACATTTAAAAAAAAAATCATGCAGGAAAAGGTACTTAATTTATTTTAAGAAATATAAAGTTCTGAAACACTATGGAACTTTTTAATGCAGAAAAAAGTGGTAATATCCAAAGAAATCATTCCCATAGTAGTAGAATTCCCCACTTAATGGTACCTGCACCTTGTCGTGGCGGTGGGGCTCGAGTACCTCGGTGACCCCAAGAGCTATGCTGGCGGTAGCATAGCTACTGGTAGGGTTGGTCGAGGGGGAGAGGTCAGACTAAGACAGGTACCCTGGTCCTCCAGGTTGGGGGTTGGTCGCAAGGCTAACAACCTTGCGCCGTAAAAAGGAAGACGTTTCGAAACCTCGATCGAAACCTCGGACAGGCGGACCTAACAGAGGAACGAATGGAAGAGGAGAATTGAGGAGGCCATGGACCGAATACGGACCGGAGAGCCATAGAAGTAGTAGAATTTTATTATGACGAGTCCATGACTTAAAGACCACTGGGTATAGGTTAAACTGCTATTTGAAGTTCACATGGTTGTCTTATGGGTTGTTGTGCCATGTAGTCTGGTAGAAGTTTTCCAACCCATCTATGACAGGCTACAGTGTTCATAAAGAGGGCTGAAAATTAAATATTAGTCAAAAGAGTGTTTCATCACTACTTCCGCATTTAGCAGACTGAAAGAAACACTAAAAACTGCCCATCTAGAGCTCAGCGACTTAGTTCTTCAATGGTAACATCCCTTTCCCCGACTGAGTAAACCATTACTCGTGGATCTTTCTTAATGGTGTATTTATAATGCATTAACGAGACCTTAAAAAATTTATAAAAAACAAATGGCAGATCAACATAATTGAGAATGGATCCAGTCAACATACATATGTGACAAAAAAAAACTGGCTCCTTTGACATGAGCAAAGAATGCCTCACGGGCCCCTCCGAGCCTGTGACGCATTTCGTCGCATTGATATGACAATGAAGCTGGAGACACCTGCTGCATCAGTGACCTTGAATCACGCCACACCAATAATTACGTTGTTGCATTTATTATTACTCTGTTCCTCTGCTGAGATCATTACTTGTAATGCGGTACTAAGAATACCTTTGGAATTTAGTGCGGTCAAAGATGTACGCATTTCCAATCTCGTTTATTTGCGTGCCCAAGATACCATATCCTGGTAAATCCTGTCCCTACGCTGTATTAATCTGCAAGCAATATTTCTACTTTAAGATTTTGTAGCTCAGTTCCAAGAGAGGTTAACACAACAACCAAAAAATAATATTATTTGTTGATAACAAGGTGGTCAGATGGTATTTGGTTATACATGCAAAGTCAGTATGACATGATTTTAGACACAGATATGGATAACGCCTCACAGGAATACAGCATCTTTCTTATTTATTTATTTATTACTTTAACAACGTTATGTAATATGTTCATGTTATATGGTATAAAGCAGGAAATGTGAGGATGTTTATGAATTGTGCACCATATTGTACTATCAGAAGTGATTATGGAATTTTACAGGAAACTACCAGACGTAAGGCGGAGGGAAAAGAAGAACTGCCTTCATTAAAATAAGCAGGTTTGGAAGGTAACATAACACCTGTGTGATGCAGCCAGCGGTACCATAATATCGGGATTTAATTTCCCAATTCTCGTACCACAAAATTTAGGTGTTCAATTCGACGTCTCCTTCGTAACAGAAGATGCTTATAAAAGGCTTCGCAAGACACAAAAGTTTACTGGAATGGTGGGAAATCATTTGTTCCTTGTAATATCTGTAAATAAATTCGCAGAAAGGATACGGGTTCCAGCTATAGCACGTCGGTTCTCGTATGCCACAGAACTTAAATGGAGCGGAGAAAGGAAAAGGATCAGTTATTATTTTTTATAATAATTATACACATGAATAAATATAGGACCTAAGAAGGAAAAATCAAAGACAATATTTCTGGGAGTATAGTTAACGTAAATATTAAAAGGACACAATTTCATGTTCATGCAAGCGTGCAGGAATACACACACACACACAGATAAAGCAAGTCTTGAATTCAAAAGCTGACAGTTTATATGTACATAATCTCATTTTACAAAGAAGTAATTAAAGCTATTTACTCTCCTCGTATCCCTACATTTGGATCGAAAGACTTCTTGGCAAAAAGAAACATGTCGACAAATAAATTTGCAGAGAAGGTTGCAACACGTACAAGGTCTGTTACAGAGCTGAGAAGAGACGTAACCGGAGCGGACAGATGACAATTTAAAACGGGCGAGTATAGTGGATAAATTTTTATGTTTCCCATTAGATTGCCATGGCAGAAAAATTCTCAGATCTAAGACATGTAATCAAATATGACATCTGAAATAATGTTTTCGTCTGTCGAGTCTTATCAGATATCACATTACAATCTTATAACCCCAAAATGTTCAGCACTGTAACAGTCTGACATAAAAATAATAATATTCCTTCTGTGATCTTCAATACTAACAAAGCTATTTACTGACGTAAATTATATCAGAACATTTTCGTCCTTTCCCACACTACGTTGACATATGACGCCAAAAAATACGGTAATGCCAGAATAAATAATTCAAGTTAATGGTATTTATAATTCAAAATTAACGACACTACTCCTCAAAACATCAAAGTGCAAGAAAGTGTAATCTTCGTAAATGAAAAAAGTTTATTTCCCATCCCTTTAGTGAAATTTATATTTTATAATAGTAAATAACAACACAACAACATAAATATTTTAACATTTTTTTTTTAAAAAAATATTTTATATACAATATCTATGTACATCTTTGAAGCATATTTGCTACATACAAATAACATTTTAGTGATAAGCCCATAAATAATCTAAACGCTAACGTTGACTGGAATCAAATATCACACAAGAGGGCAATTTTAATTTATAAATATTACTGGCACTTACCATATTTTTCAGCATTTTAGTTCTCAAGACCGAGTCCAACGTGATTCGCAGTAACATCCGACGTAACTAAATACCGACTTCCGACGTAAACCGCGATAAAATTATCCTCAAATTCTAAATTATTTTAAACATTTTTCTTCAACAACAAACATTTCTGAATTTTAACTTCAGAATAAATTAATTTTTTTACTGAATTCACTGCTAAAATGCTGATAACTTTTACACATTGAAAAAAATTCTCACAAAAACCACTTCCTGTTTTGAAACCAATCTGTGGTAAATTCCACGATTTCCATAACTGTAACAGCCCTCCAGGACAAGTTCTTTCGTATGCCGGACACAGACGCCACACCTCATCGTTAAGGATAATATTAAAGTAATCCCATAAACAACAAACTATCAGAATTTTAAGAGGTGGCTATCAAAATTAAAGTACACAATCAAATAACAACAAATATAACAAATCTATAACATATTTTTGAGAAAAACGTAGAATCTGTCGGCATACAAGAATCGATATACTGCAAACAGAGTAAAAAATACATCTTGGACATTAACTGGTGTCACAAAATTAATAATAAAGTAACTTGCAAATATCTTTATGTACAATGAACATTTAATTCAACGGAATCCTCTCGATCGATCAGCTATTACACCGCAGCGTTAAAATTCCAACATTTTAGAGATTGTCTCTACGTCGCAATTATCAGCGATAGATATTTAATGGAACCAAAAACAAAAGACACACATACGCACATTCAGCAAGCAGAACACTGCCCCCCTTGGTCACGAGCTAGTCAGCGACGGAACGCGCGACGTAAATGAGTGGTTACGAGCGTCTCAGAAGATATCTCACTAAGTACGTGGAGTAGCTTAGCTCAGAAGCGTCAAGTTACTGTCAGTGGCGCGTTACAAAACACGTCCGTTCATACGCGAGTACAAAGTCTCTGAAACACTGGAATTTTACTCTGCAGTGACGTGTTCAAGCACCCGAGAGGATTTCATTGCACTCAGTAACCGGAAGAGTTTAAAGTCAATTCTAATTAAGATCATGACGGGAGTCTTCGTTCGAAATTCGTACGGAACAGACTGAAAACATGGTAATGGCGACTACGCAAAGGTTAAAAATCATGGTTATACAAAAAAAGCTTTGGTAACACGATAAACGTCACGCAGTCGAGTCGAATTCCGGCTGCCGGAACACATACCTCGGGAAAAACACGTTAGATAACGAAGCACAGAATATTTCCATGCAAAGAGTTAGAGAAGTCACAGACAAAGACATTCCCAACATTTAAAAAGAATTCGAGCACATTAAACAATTAAATACATTTAAACCAAATAAGCAGGTTGGAATAAATACAAATACCGTCGGACGTATCTGCTGCGTACCTGATAACCGCACGCTGAACTCGGACATCAACGTAGAATTAAAAATTACACACAGCAATAATTTAACACATAAAATATATATCTATACAAATAACGCTAACATTAAAATATCACCTCTTAAAAAGGATAATGACGTGGAAGGTAAATCACTTCTTTCGAGATAAGGCGGACACATTTATATTTCGCTGACCTGCAGCGAGCAAAATTGTTGGATGGAAAAGTAACATACTTATATAAATTCTGTTCATAAATACGTTTCTGAAATGAAAGACGCTTTAAAATTATTCTGCTTTGGAAAGTCTTAAAAAAAAAAAAAATATGACATCTTAACTGTGCAGCGATACGCAGATGTAAAAAAAAAAAAATACTGTTGGTATAAAGATTGTCCTTCGACAGACAACTACAGGAACTGTTTCACGCTAGCGACCCTGAGAACGACACGAATCGAAATGCCTCATACCGTATTTTCTAACCTGACCTGGTGCTGATGCGACTCGTTTAAACACCTTCTAACTTACGTGCTCCAACAGCTTTTAATTGACTACGTCTAAGAAAAGTTATCTGCAAAGAAAAGAAAAGAAAACATATTAATATACTTGAATCACACGTGCACGCGCACACACACATACATGTAATAAAAATTATAAAAAGGCAATCGGGTCGCATTTTCCATTCCGATTATTTGTTACCCGAACAAGTTAATCTTTTATCATTTTTGTTGTCGTCGGGGGCGGAACATTCATATCGACCACGTTAGCCCAATTTAGAAAATGAAGAATGAAAAGTCTCGTCTTACTTTCACGGGGCTCGAGTACCTCGGTGACTCCAAGAGCTACTGGTAGGGCCTCCCTCGCCAGATTGGTCGAGGGGGAGAGGTACCCTGGTCCTCCAGGTTGGGGGAGGAGGAGGAGGAGAAGAAGGAGAGGAAGAAGAAGAAGGAGGAGGAGGAGGAGAAGAAGGAGAAGGAGAAGAAGGAGAGGAAGAAGGAGGAGGAGGAGGAGGAGGACGAGGAGGAGAAGGAGGACGAGGATAAGGAGAAGGAGGACGAGGATAAGAAGAAGGAGGACGAGGAGGAGAAGGAGGACGAGGATAAGGAGAAGGAGGACGAGGATAAGAAGAAGGAGGACGAGGAGGAGAAGGAGGACGAGGATAAGGAGAAGGAGGACGAGGATAAGAAGAAGGAGGACGAGGAGGAGAAGGAGGATAAGAAGGAGAAGAAGAAGTCTTACTTTCATATATCAGTGGAACACAGCAGACCTGATCACACAAAATGCATTCTTGCACTCACGGTTAAAACAAGCCTCGAACTGCGTATGAATGCCCAGCTGACTTGAGTTGGCTAAAGATGTCTCTCATCTGATCAGTTCTGCTTTATTCCACTATATGAAATACCTCTCAACAAGAGAGTTAAGACAGGAGAATATGTCCTTCATCTTTTAAACTGTTAGCCAGGCTAACATGGTTAACACGAATGGTCCGCCCCTCCTTAATGACCAAACATCACTAAATACATTTTAATCACGACATAACCAAACACTGCAGAACTTTCGACGTTACTCACCTCACCCTATATATCCTGCAACAAACGTGACAAGCAGGGCTACGAATCCTGTCAGAATATGTTTTACGGACGACGTGGGAGCCGCTGCCGCTACATTGATTCTGGAGTCAGACTGGTAGTTCGGTCTGGAATCTGGTTCTGTAAACCTATCACGAGCTGTGAGGCGGTCCCCATACTTGTGAAGTAGTTCCATTATTACGCCATTTGTCCATCCAAATCCCACCTGAATTTCATATTCTCCACCACCGCCGTGGCCACCAGGAACTGTCGCATCATACTGGAACAATCCCCACAGCATCTATGAACTCTTCAATTCCAGTGATTAAAATGGGTGCTGTTAGGTTATGTTATGTTAGGTTAGGTTGGGTTAGGTTAGGTTAGGTTTTGTTGGGTTGGGTTAGGTTAGGTTATGACTAAGAATTAACCTGACATGTCCTGGTTGAAAAGATCTACTACACCGCCTAGCAACCACATTAAATTAGTCAAACATTGAGACAAATGGAAGAGAAACACAGACACGTAAGATTACCTAGAAAAGGAAAACAAATTGATGATAACTTGTAGAACAGATATTTCACTTCCGACTGCGCTGACAAGTCTGGCTCATTTCTAGTATACAAGGGTTAAAATATCAAACACTGTAACTTTGTTATAATATTACATTTCTACATTAAAATCATTTTTTTTTCTATCAAAAATATTTAATAAATAAATAATCAATTGTAGTACAAAGTCTATCTTGCTTATTATTCTACGTTAGACACCTTTACCAAAAAAAAAAATAAAGTATACCAGACACAATCACGACATACCTTTTCATACATAGCACCAGTTTCATTGAACGCCTTGTAGTTTGATCGCACCCATCTCTCCGTCATCTCAAATGCCAGCTGTTTAGCCCAATCATCATCTGTGTTATCAAGACCCATGATCATGATATACTGAAGTGGGGGCCACGCATTGGGGTAGTCCCACTGTTCACCAGAATGCTCTAATGTCGTCGGAATGCCACCTAGATTTCCCATTATCTGCGTCTTCTGCAAATATTTCATTATCTTCCCAACTTGGGTTTCCTTATCCTTGTAACAGCCAGTCCAAAGCGGAGCGACATTTGTAGGATAGAAATAATCACGTTTAACCTCATTCATCGAGTCGTAATCCAACCACGCGCCGACTTCGTCGTGCCACAACACGGCAGTCACGGCTTCTAGCCATTCGTCCGCGATACTTCTGTATTTATCGGATTTTTCTGTTATGTTCAGGCGTGTGTAGAAGTCTACCAAAAGTCTGGCATTCCAGAACAATATAGAGTTTAGATCCACTGGAATAATATATCGCGTCTTCAGATCGATAAGAGTTCCTGCAACATAAAACAGAACTGATTACGAAGAAATCGTGTCAACTTCCCTCTACACTGAGCACTAAAAACTGAGGTTAGTCTTGATACAATCACGAAATAACTCCATAAAACACAGCCCCTTTTCTAAAAAGCTAACAGTTCCTCAGCTACTCAAGAAATTCATAAATTCCCTGCCATAATGAAACACAAATATCGTCACGAGAGTTTACGAGAAATTACGAGAAATTACGAGAGATTACGAGAAATTACGAGAGATTACGAGAGTCTGTCGCTGAACCCTGTCTCAAGCCATCTAAAGAAGAAACGTAGAAAGTTAACAAAAGGAAGGATTAAAAATAAAAGTTCACCTTTATTTGTGGCATTCTGAATGAACCAACGGCTTGAGAAATCCCAACCCGACTCGGCCGCAGCTTTCAATTCGGAATAGTAGGCTTCCCTCTCTTCGTCTGTACGAAAAGCTTCTTCAGCACTTGAAACATCTTCCCTGAAAATGAAGATTTCTTACACTTACGCCAAACAAACTGGCATAGTCAATCCAACATTTATATTTATTTCCATATTTAGGCCATTTTCCTTTTAAGAATAACATGACGTTACAGTTATTCAAAATTATAATCTAAAACGCAAATTTCTGAAGTACGCGCATGCGCAAGACGCACGCAGTTTCCTTAGAACAAAATGGGATCATATCCACACATGGTACACAATTCATTTCGGGCACTGCGTACAATACCAAAACAAAACAAAAAAATCGGCCGCGAATAAAGAACTCTTTTATTTTTCGTACGACTAGAATCGAACATGTTCAGTCTAAATGTGTTCAAAAATGTGCCGATGTGTACCGTGGTCGTCAAATTCTGAACGCAAGAGGGTTATGTTTTGCATTAGTGTGAAACAAGCCTGACTATTGCTGTACACGCATTTCAGATATCAGGTCTGAACAAAAATGTTACGTGCAGCATTATCAGATTAAACTGTGTGCAAATTAAAACCACAAGAGGATGCTGTCCTATAAAACGTCGTATTATAACATCAACAAATTGTCTGCAACGAATGAAATGTAAACTTTCCGAACAAAATTGGTGACACGATGAGTTAAGAAGCTTTCTATCTTCTGGGTTGACTTTCAGATAGATACTAGAATGGGTTAGGATTAGTTATGATTACAGCATTTTTCATATCGTGGTCCATCTGTTCTATTATTTAATTAAACCGTCCTTACCAGTAAGATTCCGGTCTGGGTCCCGATGAAGCGTCCTTATACCTCGCCAAAGTATATCTTTTTCCATCTTTCTCGACTGAAATCGTGTGATTTGTCATCCAGTAATCAAACTCTCGTTCCAAGATGTCGATGTTATCTCTCAAAAACGTGATATCATTTGTTGCATCCAAATAACTTTTCATCATGGGGAGCAACATCGGTGGTTGCGATCTCTTCGCGTAATAAATTCTTCCTCCGTTTGGAATACAACCATAGTTCTCAACTATAGAGAAGAAATTTCCTAACATCCCCTTCACCGTCGTGTACATCTCTGAGAGTAGGAGGCCACGTATAATCCAATAAGAATCCCAGTAATAAAACTCCCGGAATCTTCCTCCGGGAACAATCACGGGATGTGGCACGTAAATAATAGAATATAATTCTTGATGTTCCCCAAGTCCTCCGGGAACAATCACAGGATGTGGCACGTAAATGATAGAATATAATTCTTGATGTTCCCCAACTTCATCTTTCATTTTCCTCCCCAAAAACTTCCATAGGTCATTTAACTGTTTGCCCCATTCCCGGAAATCAGTATCGACGATGTCGTCCAGAAACTTCGGATGTTTAATCCAGTCAGATGGATCCCATTTTTCGAATTCACTTCCAGCAGGTTCAAACTTCTCACTAAGAAAGTTTTCAAGCTCTTCGATAGTCGGGTCTGACGTCGTTCTCTTCATCAGAGCTTGAAAACTTTCTAATGTCTCATTTGGTGGCTGCTTCATTTTCATGTCTACGAAAGTTTTCGAATCGTGATATATCTTTTTCATTTGAACGGTGTGAAGCAGTTCTCCATAGCAGTAGACATTACTGAAAATAAATTAAAAACACACATGAGTTTAAATAAAAATAAAAATCTTGCTACATAATCTCACTGGATTGAAAAATAAACGTAATTTAAAACAATACAAAAATTATTTTTTTAAGAAAAAAAAATACGCTCGTCATATTTATATAATTATTACGTTCTATTCTAAGTATTTACAGTTAACAGTGCAAACAAAAGTATAAAGATTCAGTGGACTTAAAATTAAGAACGAAATACAATTCAATTCACGATCTCAAACTAAGAAAAGTTTTGTAACGGAACTAAAAAGAACATCAGTCCGTAAAAATCATGGACTTAGCGAGTAAATTACATTCTCATCTAAAATTCAAACAACATAAAAATAATTTATATAAAAAAAAATTAACTGAAAGTCATTGGCTGTTTCAAGATCTCAGCCGTCAATGCACATACTGAGAGCACGTGTGAAATTATGTTAATTGCTGCTACGAGGAGAGCAGAGGATACAATGGCAACTCGATGGGGTATTTGAGAGGGGGGAAATGAACGATTAACTTGCAAAATCTAATAGTCTGGGCTGGCAGGGTTGTCCAAATTGTCACGAGTGTATTTAGTGCCATAACTGAGCAAAACATTCTATTCACATATAAATCTCATGAATATGTTAATACTTTGTGTCCTTCACCAGGAAAACATTAACAAATGCAAGATCCATTGAGTGGCAGAATTCTTAAATCTTTCTCACCAAAAAAAAACAAAAAAAAAACAAATGTTCCTTTCAGAATGTCACCTCAGTAATTACAGGAGAAAAATATTTATAACAAACAGGTCTTGGCGTATTCATCGCCCTGATGACGGAGGCAGTATGACCTCTGAAACGTTGGTTAACATCGACCAGACTACACAGCGCAACAACCCAGAAGACGGAAATCTTCATCGCCCTGATGATGGAGGCAGTATGACCTCCGAAACGTTGGCTAACATCAACCAGACTACACAGCGCAACAACCCAGAAGACGGAAATCTTCATCGCCCTGATGATGGAGGCAGTATGACCTCCGAAACGTTGGCTAACATCAACCAGACTACACAGCGCAACAACCCAGAAGACGGAAATCTTCATCGCCCTGATGATGGAGGCAGTATGACCTCCGAAACGTTGGCTAACATCAACCAGACTACACAGCGCAACAACCCAGAAGACGGAAATCTTCATCGCCCTGATGATGGAGGCAGTATGACCTCCGAAACGTTGGCTAACATCAACCAGACTACACAGCGCAACAACCCAGAAGACGGAAATCTTCATCGCCCTGATGATGGAGGCAGTATGACCTCCGAAACGTTGGCTAACATCAACCAGACTACACAGCGCAACAACCCAGAAGACGGAAATCTTCATCGCCCTGATGATGGAGGCAGTATGACCTCCGAAACGTTGGCTAACATCAACCAGACTACACAGCGCAACAACCCAGAAGACGGAAATCTTCATCGCCCTGATGATGGAGGCAGTATGACCTCCGAAACGTTGGCTAACATCAACCAGACTACACAGCGCAACAACCCAGAAGACGGAAATCTTCACTGATCAATTCGTTCATGATTGAATTCGAGTCACCGATACTAGTTTAAGGGTGGACTTTTAATTAGATAACCTCATTAACATAATATATCACCAAATCTGAAAAAAAAAAAATGTATTATTTCATTGCTCTAAATGACAGCAGGATGTTCCTCAAGGACATCATATGACATCCTTCTCAGAAGCAACCTTGAGAATCTCCCACGGATTACAAAGAGAATTTCATAACAGCCAGGACAATTACTTTCCAGTGAATTCAGATTTAAATTATGGCCCCCCCAGAATATTTCTATGCTTATTCTTTTAGGGATCACAAAAGAGTTATTTCGCGTAGTTTCTAGAGCAAGTAATATGATGTGGTCATCGTATGGGACAAGACGTTTTCCCCTTCCAAATTCATGATCAAAAGACAACACACAAAACAATTTATTTGTCGAAATCTATCACGAAGAACGGGCCTTCAATCTCCTCTGAAACTCCAAGACCCTTTCTAATATACCCTTTGATTTGTGTTTAGGTCTTTCAAGTGTTCTCTTTCCTGTATGTTTTCTGATTAAAATACTCTGTGCACTTCCCATTTCCCTGTCTTTTGGAATGGGGAAACATCAAATGTTACTGCCCGACACAAAATTTTTGTTTCGTGAGTGTGTGGATTGAATTAAACTGGCTTAGGATAGGGTAAATTAAGAACGATGACAAGAAATTTGTTGGCCTGCTGAGTGACTAGAAGATTTTTAAAGGAATCTGCTCTGTCGGTTCTATATCTCACTTTACCTGATGATCGCCGAAGTTTTCCAGGGAAAAACGACACAAGGGACGTCCGAAACTCGAAAATATTTATCGCATTGTAACGCAACGTAATTAAATACAAATTAAAACGTTTTGAAGGTGGAAAATGAAAGGTGTTTGCCTTCCTCACTCGGTTTTGCATTAAAAACTCCATGGGTAAGTACGGTTTCATCTACAGTCATCAATTTTTTCTCTAAGAGATACAAAATTAATTCGTACTTTTGAGACGTGTTCGATCCTGTCATAAGGCGTCAATGTATAAGTTAACCTACTACAATAATCCCTGACATATTATAAGAACTTCGTCTTATAAGGCACAGAAGGTGAATCAAGTACCGTTTAGAGTCGCGAACTGCAAAAATCTGTATTCCAGTTAAAACAAAAATATCATAACGCGCGCCAACAGTTGAAGGCGAGAATTTTCTTTACAGCCAACTTCCGAAAAAAAAAAATCCCTGACACGAAACTAATCTACGTAAGTTTCTACTTTAGCGTATAATAATCTTAGCATTGTTGAGATAATTTTGAATTAAGAGACCTCAACATCCATTGTCGACTTACAAAACGGCCTGAGTTGTCTATTTCGGCCGATTTTTCAGTGGTTTAATCAATCTGTATTTGTGCCAACAATCACGAAAAACTCGAGTCGACTCTTAACCCATTAACCGACTAAGTAACAACAAAATGGCGGCAGGAAAAGGCACCGAGAATCTGAAGGCAATCTCGTCTGTCCACTGCGTTCTCATCGGTTCTAACAGCCAGACGTTTTTTATTCCCTTGTTTTCACATGTATCGGTTGGCTTCACAGGAATGTCTGTCAACTTTCTAGCGTTGTGGAAGGCCTCCTGACACACCACGTTAAAAAAACAATATACGCGTTAAAAATACACAAGGTGACCCAGAAGTAGATATACGGTTGTACGCGATAAATCTGATAGGTTAATTTTAATTCTCTGTTCCGAATGAAACATCAGATATCAGAAAACTCAGAGTGTGAGGAGGGCGTGGTGGACTGGAGCCACGTGGCGATGTATCAAATCGATGTTACTGCCAACCCTACCAAGATAAAGTTCCCTGATTTCAAACAAAGTTACAGTACCCAATTATGTTGGTCATTAATAAGGTTACTGACTAGCCTGTAGGTTACAATGCATAATACTGATTTGTGTTACGAGTGTATGAACACCCCCTCTTCACAAAAAAAAAAACTTCTAAAAATACTGAAGCATTTATTGACAATTTCTGACAAACATTAATTTTGTCTTATTAATGCGACATAATCATTTTATTTCGATGTTATTACAAATACGAATCAACGCTCTAGGGCAGCGTTTCTGAATCTACGAAGTACGAAAATCAAAATATAATATTATCACAAATAATTTTTTTCGTGAACAAATTTGGTTTGTGGTAGGTTTAAAGCGTTAAATTATAATTAGTGGTACGCCATCGAAAAAGGTTGAGAACCCCTTCTCTAGGGGGGGGAATGCGAAACAGTGAAAGTGTCTGATGTGCTGAAAAGCACGTTTGGAAGAAACCCAGTACCGCCCGGAATAATGCACCGGTTACAGACTGGCAGGATCTCCGGAAAGTTCAAGCTCTCCACAAAATTTCGATATATATATATATATATAAAAAAAATCTAAACAGAAGATGAGATTTCAGGTTCTCACAGCGATAATTATGAATATTTCTGTCTGTTTGGATGTTACTCTCTGTATTAAATATTAAAATTAACCTTCAGTCGTATACGAGGGCGAAAACCGGATTTAATTAGCTTAAACCGGCTCAACATGGAGTCGAGTGCAGGTATAGAACTTTTAACTGACATAAGGGGGGGGGTGTCCCCGGGGGGAGGGGGGTGCCTTCACAAGCTGAGCGCCAAGTACCAGATTATTAAGCAGGACTTCGTTCCATGTCAACGTCGAAGTTATTTTCGATGACATGCGGGATGACATACAATAAGGGGCCAAGACAGCGTGACTTAGGCCGTTATAAAACTAACAAATGAAGACAAAATCAGAGACGATGTAAGATCCACCTCGTGATTAGGAATTATCACATGGCAAATTCCATCAGTCTGCTTTTCTTGTAGGATCTGTAACCCGGATGTCTTTGATTTGATAGAAAAGAACGTATATTCCTTTATATGAACGATAAATGACATTAATGACTTAATAATTGATACTACTCGAGTTATGATAAGTCTGTAATTGAAAAGAGCCGAGCAAACACTTCTCATGTTCCCACCTTATTACACACCCCGTAATAATTGAATAATTCAATTGGCTACCGTTACTAAAAGGCAGGGCTGAATTTTACATTCAAACATGTGGAATACGCATTAGCGACGTAAAAATCTTCAAAACAGTTACCAACAAAGGCATAATTACGACAATTTATTTTGCACTGCGATCAAAACAAACCACAACAATAGACGCGAAAGTTTCAAGTGAGGTAAGTGTTGCGTAAGTCGTTTTTAACCGCGACACGACATGCCATGTCGTATTATTACTGTTACATAAACACGTCAGCTGGTTAGAAATGCAGGGGGCAACAATGCCAACACCACAAGCAACGAGCTCGTTCCATTACAAAAAAACAAAAAAGTTATATTCATTTTACAAGGCTGGACCGTCGATTTACAGTGCCAAGTTCTCCATATTCGTGCTGTAAGATTCACGTATCCTTACGCCAAGAATAGGCCTCAGCCTGACCACATATTAACGGAGGAACTTAATTTAGAGCTTCTCCCCAGGCCTCGCTTGTTCCATTCTCGAAACATCTTCAATCGCTCCCCAGTCTCCTAATAGCTAACCTAACGACAACTTTTCGTGGGCATTTTGAAACGTAAATTCATTATCACACCGCAAGACATGACTTGTGACTGTGGGCAGTCACCAATTAGTTCTCAATTACTTCACCAATAATTAATTAAATTAATGTTAACAGGCAATAGTACTACATGTTAGTCATTTTTAAACACATTTCATTCATACGAATGCAAATATTATCAAGAGACACTACTGTACACACGTCATTCATTAATCCTTTAAAGCAGCTCGTCTAAATTATATATAATAATTCAGCCCGTACCGCGAAGAAAACACACCACTTCACCGTTACGAAGATCAAGTGGTTGACGATGTTTAAGGACAGTTACAGTTTTACTGTGTAGGAGCGTGGGAATGCTTTGAAAAAATTTCGCTAAGTGTCGAACTCATTTTTACGTAGAATCTTTCTGCAACGAGAAAATATAGTTCACGCGGAGTGATACAACGTTTTACGACAGACTGCGACCACGAACGGCGGACAACAAAGGACTTGTTCTCTACAGCCATTTCGTGTAGCAGATATAATTTTTTCTGGATTACGAAAGAAAAACTTCACACATTATTAACCTCGAAGCATTACTTCCTTCCGAGTTAGTCCAGGAGTTTGGACGATGGTTGACACCCAAGGTAAGTCTGTACGTCGTAAAAGACAATATTTTGTCCCTGCCCAAGAATCGAACCCCAGACACACGCGAATATTACACAGGCAAATAATGTTCATGACAGTGCGTCTTCTTAAAGATAAATATCAGACACGAATCAGTGTTCATGTTCCACGTTTTACTCTTGTTAAAACCAACAAGAATTGTCCTTGCAGTGTCGAGCCAACCTAACAACTTCCTGTTTCATTTCAAACTGGATTAAACTAGTATTCTACGATTCTATCGGTAAGAATGTAAATATTATAAAATGTACACGTTGCTGGAAAATTCATGTCTTTTCTGGCACAAAGGACAGAAAAATTCTCCGATGAACGAATTTCACAATTTATTTTCTGTCAAGAACGAACAGTCAGGCAGGAAACCAACTAATCTAATCGGCCTTCAATTCACTTACGACCTTCAAACAGAGACAGCTGGTTGGCGTACAGGTTCACGAAACACACAGCATTTCTGCACAATAAAACTCAAATCCCGTTTTCCTGATACATTGTAGTTGATGTTTTTTGAGCATTATTGCCGAGAGGAACATATTATTTATTGCTTATTACATAAAAAGTATCTTTCATTCTTAAATAAAAGTCTTTTGAACGGAATAATTACTTCCATGGGATATTATTATACATCGCGATCTACATAAAACGTGTCCTTCGTTCTGAAGAGAAAGGCGATAATTATCTTCCAATAATCCAGAATAAAACTTGTATTCAGTCATCAATGGTGAAATACTGTATTCCTTTCGGTTTTAAAAGCCGAAATTCAACTTCCCCCCCCCTCCCCCCAAGCTCATCTGAATATGTAACTACCTAGTTCCTACCGCAAAGAAAACACATCTTCGTCACAAACATCGGTCTTTTCGTTACGAATGAGGGAATTAATCGCTGTTTAATGTGGGAATTACAAATACTGTGACCAAAATGTCTGTCCAAGTGTTGCTTACAGTTATCAAAGTGGTTTAAAAGGATTAACAATGGATTTTTAGATAACGATATCTGCACTATTTAAACTTTTGTTGCAGACAAAAACTATAAGGAGATATCGCTGGATTTTGCACTTTTGGAACGGCCAATACAAACTTTTTAACAATTTACACGTTTATATATTAACGACGAACAAAGGAGCACTTATTAAGCATTTCAAATAACGACATAAAACCACGTAAGAATTACAGAACGTACGTACGTACTATTCCTCTCAGTTAATTATTTTTAAACAGTTTATAATAAAATTCACTCACCTGCTACACGGAGGAGGATAAGAATCTCCAGAAACGAGTGTCACAATTAACAAAACGTTCACTGCACCTAACTTGTTTAGATTCATAATAGTTTGCTTTCTCAGACGAAACACTTGCCAAAAAACAAAAACAAAAAATATTGAACACGAAGTTTAATCCCAAAAAAAAAGACACTTCACTCGTAGTCCACAACAATCAACTGTATCTTGTGTTCGCTTGCTGGTGACTACTTTCTGGATGTGGCTTCCTCGTCATGTCCACTGCTACGTGATCATAGCGATGATACCTGCACAATAAATACAATTTCCTTGGTCAGCATCTAGCAAAAACGGATATACCTTCACCACACCAGCCTCTCAGACAGACTGATTCCATGGCAGTGCGCATATACAGCTTTAAAACCAGAGGGGTCAATTCATTGCATCAGCAAACTCGCAAGCTACTAGTGGTTAAGTCAATGACGAGCCCCTCTCCGTGCGTCATTTCATTGGCCAACAGCCGAACACACCTCCTACGTTGTCTTAGAACCGTGACTTGCTTTTAACATTGGCTCGCTCGAAACCATTAACCTAACCATCGGCCACAAGATGGAGATTTAGAAAGTCGACGGATGCAAAGGTTTGTGCCGACAGACCGTCTGGTCCAGTGGTATTCAACCTTTTTTGTTCGCGTACCCCCCAGATATAATATCTCTTCAACTTCGTACCCCAAAGTTGTTTGTGTATAATTCAAGTTATACGTAGTATATAATCTACATCTAAAATCAATTAAATAAATTACATTACTCATTATTCAGTGTTTATCATAAAATAATATATTTTTTTAAATTTCACGTACCCCCTAAGATGTCTTCGCGTACCCCCAGATATAATTTTTAAATCTCACGTACCCTCTTTGGGCCCAAATATTCTCCTTCATAGGCCCACGCCAAGGACGTATAACGTCATAAAATTGAAATTAATGCTCCGAGATTAATTTGCGTAGGAGTGAAAATGTTCTGGACAGGACTTCTTCAATATCGGTTTCGACTGAACCCTAACCGGGTGTCCAATCTGAGATTCTTCGTGATTTTACTCCGTACCAGCAAAATAACGTAAGGTTCATTACCTTCACAGACTACAGCAGCTTCCAGACCCCGAAACTACTAATCATTCATAACCACCTCCAAAAATTCATTCGACACTTTATGACACATGTTGCTGAAACAGAGTCGTTAAATAAGCAGATAATCAATCCATTCGTATACAAAACCGGATTTCCTTAGAGCTTGAAAAAAAATTCTGTTGAAATGTTTGTAGCCTACTCTGAGAGCACTTCGCCTAATGACGTGTGCAGAGAAAAGGATATCGTCGTATCTTATCTAACTCATGATGCAATGTTAAACAGTTGATAGGTAATCCCTTCATAATAATTGCAATGTCTACGTGGGATCTGAGGTGTTCACGGCTACGAGTCCGAAGATGGCTGTCTTCTGGGTTGTAGAACCCTGATGATGGAGGCAGAGAAGCACCTCTGAAACGTCGGCTCCAACTAACTTCTTTATCATAACTACAACTTATCTGTTGTAAAGAAAATTCCACTTCCATAATTTAGATAATTTCGAGTACAGTGTTAAAGTTCTATTTCGTTAAGACAGACTTTGGCGTAGATAAGATAGTATTAAAATTGTCCAAAAAAAATACTATATCATGTCAGGCTCTTGTGAACACGGCAATGTAACTTAAAACAACTTAA